CCAATAAAACTCATTACAAACGAGGCATTTGTTGCATCCAGTGGGGATAGAATTACTGATTATAATGACTTAGACTGTGTTTCTGTCAGGATCACTATCGTCGAAGATGATTGACAATTAGCATACAGTTTGGATTGGCAGTTTGGTTCTATTCTGGGCAAGAACTCCCTGCGCATCCATGCAGCCTAGCATGGATGAGAGCAGGGAGAGCAGCAATAACCCCCCAGGGTAAACAGAACAGAACCATCATAAATGTATTGCAGATATTGTTAAAGTTTAATAATTGTATGTACACATTTTAGAATTAGTCTTATTCAAAGGAGAATCAGAAGGCTGAATCCTGACTGACAGAGGAGGAGTTGGGGATGGAGGAGGGTAATTAGCTATTGATTATTATTATTGCAATTGAGCAATGTGAAAACTGCTGATAATACTGAGGGACCTTATATATGAATACTTAGGTGTCGTATTCCCATAGGTTGATGGGGATCAGCTGAAAGTCAGCTGATGCGAGCTTGACTAACGTGACCTGCCAGAACTAATGCTACGCTAGATTTTTACGCTTTGCGTTGCGTATTGCGCCGCGTAAACATAAAACCATGTCTGCATTTGTGATCGGAGAAATGACAAACAACAAGCGCTACTCTACACTGCTCAAACTCGCGTTTGAATCATCAGTGGCAAATTCTTTAAATATAAAAAACGTACTTACAGGCACAGAAGCGCCAGACTGTCCTTGCAAAGTTGGAACTATAAAACCCCACTTTATAGAAACATTATGTCCTCTTTGGAAGGCCAAACAAAGTAGTTTCGCTTTCACAACGAAACACACAGCGGCTTGAGTGAGCGGTGCCCGGCGGATTCGACGAAGGAGGCTTGCGGCAACCACATGTGATGACCCTGGGCTGGACTCCGCTTCGTCCACGGTGAAAGCCGATCCGGCGATCGACGGCGTGAAGTTGATGTATTTCCTCAGCTCTAGGCATGACGAAGCGGATATCGTCCTCTTTTGGAAGGCCAAACAAAGTAGTTTCGCTTTCACAATGAAATACACAGCATCTCCACAACATGGCAGCGGCAGCAACAATACTACAGCGATAATAAAAGTTACGCCTTCTTTCTTTGCGTCAACATTTGGTATGCAAATCTTCCCACACAGTGACATAGACGTGTTAGAACGAGCTCTTTTAGGTAGGCGTGGACAAGTCTTAACTTTTATAAAGAATATCTCTTTGGATTTGAGACTTTAGTCTTTGCAACTTTACAGATCATCTTTATGCACCAAGAGCTTGTAACACTTCAAAGAGAAAGGAAAAATTGAAATCGCATCATATGACCCCTTTAAGATGGGGAAGAGTTTGCAGATGACCTGCACTCTGTCAGGAGGAAGGCCGATCTCCTCCTCGGTCTCTCTCAGAGCGGTGTGCACTTGATCTCTGTCACCGGACTCAGCCTTTCCTCCAGGGAAACACACTTCACCTGCGTGCTGCTTCAGCTGCAACACACCCATGACCCGCTCTGAACACACGCGCTCATGCCAGAAATACATTTTACATCAAGACAGTACATGAGAGCTCAGAAGAAGCGCTTCTGAAACTCCAAACATCAGGTTTCTTACGTGAATGGAGCGGACGGACAGTAAGAGCCGCAGCTGTCCGTCTCTCAGCAGCAGCGGGATGAGCACCGATGCCTGAGGAAGAGCCGCCGGTAAACGGGGAAACTCGTCGCCACTGTCGTATTTCTTTAATGACGCGACAGTTTTCTCCTTCAGATCCATCGCGGCTGTAATGAGCTCCTGTCAGGAGACTTTCACAACACTCTGTGGTGACGCTTCCGCTTATCTCAGCCCTTCCCATGATGCTCTCTGGGATCTGCTCTGGTTCATTGTGTGAAACCGTTTCTGGATCAACAGGCAGAAATAGAACAAGCAGTTAGAGGACTGTAGGGGCGGGGCTAAGCGGCTCGGAAGTCGTCTCTTATTGGCCAGATAAGTTTGTGTCATTTAAACTGACACTATTACAGTTTTGTTCACCCAATTAAATTTTTAAATTCTGTCTAACATACACACTCAAAATTAAAACGCACACACTCTAACTGTGTAATAGTAATTAATGTGCCAATAATGAGTTAATTCATTCATAATTAACTCTTTCATTCAAACATACATTCATTCATTCATTCAAACATTAATTAATTCATTTACTGCATTCATTCATTCAAACATTCATTCATTCATTCATTCTAACATACATTCATTCATTCATTTACTGTATTAATTAATTAATTCAAACATTCAAACAGGTATTAATTAATTCATTCAAACATTAATTAATTAATTCATTGAAACATTAATTAATTAATTCAAACATTCATTATTTTACTGCATTCATTCAGTCATTCATTCATTCAAACATTAATTAATTAATTAATTCATTCATTCTAACATATATTTATTCATTCAAACACGCATTCATTCATTCATTTACTGTATTAATTAATTAATTTAAACATTCAAACAGTTATTAATTAATTAATTCAAACATTCATTCATTTACTGCATTCATTCATTCATTTACTGCATTCATTCATTTACTGCATTCATGCATTGATTGATTGATTGATTCATTCAGTCATTCATTTACTGTATTCATTCATTCATTCTAACATACATTAATTAATGAATTAATTACATACTTGATTGATGAATTAATTAATTAATTCATTCATTCATTCATTTACTATATTAATTAATTAAACCATTCATTCATTCATTCATTCATTAATTCAAACATGTATTAATTAATTCAAACATTCGTTCATTCATTCATTCATTCATTTGTGTCATTTTTTACAGAAAAAAACCTTAAAGTATATAAAAACTTCATGAAACATTTTTGAAAATTACATGTGATCTAGAAACTTTATACAGTGCTCGGTTCGTTCGCCGTGGGGCCCCTCAAGCGCGGGGCCAGCTGAGGCCACACCAGTTGCACCCCCCGACTGGTGCCAGAATTGAAAGTGTGCACAGAAAAATGGTTTCTAAACCAGAAAAGGGTTTTTCAACTTGTAACAATAGCAGAACCCTTTTCTTGCTAAATAGAACACTTTTTATAGGTTTCCATAAAGAACCATGCTTTGAAAATGCTATAGGACCTTAATGGTGTTATAAATAACCTAATGATAGTTTATTTTCATTAATATTAGTATATTAGTATGTTTATATAATTAATAAAATAGTATCATTAATTAACAACAACAACAAAAGCAGCATGTTGTGTCAATTAGGTATTTATTTATTTTAATGACATGTGAAATTGTAGCAAAAAATACAGTGCTCTAACAACAGTTATTAGCAGAATACATTAATAAATGACAATTGACATTGAACATAAATAAATACTTAAAGAAGGACAACAAAATAGAAAGAGAAAATAGTGTAATGAAGAGCAAGTTCTAGTTTAATGCTGTATTTTCATAATCCTCTATGATCCTCTAAGTCCATCATTATGTGTATTTTGGTGTGATTGAATGGTAGTTTCTCTCTGCAGATGACGAGGTTGATCTGACAGCATCTGAAATGCACAAATGAGTTTAGAGTTACAATGTGTCTCCTTCCGTCTGTTTATGTAAAAACAATTGTTTATGAAGGCCAAAAGTAGTATGTGAGCGTCATATAAAGTCATGTAGCTGTGACTGGGTATGTTTATGCATAAACCCAAGTAATAATAATAATAATAACAATCTAACAATATGGACCATAAATTCAATATCTTTGTTACTTACTTAGTGGAGATGGGGAAAAAAAGCATCCTTAACTGAACAGAGCTGGTCGCACTTATATGTTCCCTTAAACTAAAAAGAGAAAAAGACATGATTGGTAGGAAACCAGTTCCAATTTGAAAGTTAAAATTTACAGACAATTAAAGAAGAAATTATTTATCTGTTGAGAGTGTGTTGACAGTCTCATAACTGATTTTCTGGAGTTCAGTGATCCAACTACACAGACTGTCAACACACTCTTAGCAGGTAAATTATTTCATTCTTAAATTTAAATACAAATGTAACTTTAAAATTGGAACTGGTTTCCAAACAAACATTATTTTCTATTTTTTTAGTTTTTTTGGTCATATGTAAGTGTGAGCAGCTCTGTTAAGACGAGGATACTTCTCTCCTCTTCTCAACTAAGTAACAGAGACGTTGAGTTTATAATACATATTTAAAAAAAAAATATTACATGGGTTTATGCATTTATATATATGCAGTAAAAAAAAAAAAACACAAACACTTTAAATCACTTTTCAGCAGCACATACTGTCCTTTTTTTTCCTGCTATACGTTTGGCCTTCATGAACACAATTGTTTTTACATAAACAAATGGACACATTGTAACTGCCACTCAGTCACACCAAAATTAAGGCATCATAGAGGATTGTGAAGATATTTCACTGGAACTTAGTCTTCATCACATCTATTTTTGTTTTTATTTTGTGCTTTACTTCTTTATGTATTTATTCATGTTCAATTGTCATTTATCAATGCATTCAGCTAATAACTGTTATTAAGAGCACTGACATTTTTGTACAGTTTCACATGTCAATAAAAAAGTACCTAATTCACACAACATTGCTGTTGTTGTTGTTTTGCTGTAAATCCCTAATAAAGGCTACACGTAAAAGAAAAAGAAAAAAAAAAAGAACCATCTTTTTTTTAGAGTGTGTGTATTTATATATATAAGGACATGAGTCACTCACTGTCAAGCAGTTTCAGAGACTGCTGGGTCTGATGGCAGCTGCGTCCAACGTGATACCTCTTGGCCTGCTGTACATGAGACCCCTACAGTGGTTGCTCAAGACCAGGGTGTTCTCCCTGAGGGGAAACCCGCTTCACATGATCAAGTTCACGCGGCGATGCCTACGTGCCTTGGACATGTGGAGGAAACCTTGGTTCTTGTCTCAGGGCCCGGTGCTGGGAGCTCCTTGTTGCCACGTAACGCTAGTGACGGACGCGTCCCTCACCGGTTGAGGTGCGGTCATGAGTGGCCACCCTGCCCGCGGTATGTGGAGTGGTCACCATCTCACGTGGCACATCAACTGCCTGGAGATGCTGGCCGTGTTTCGAGCTCTGAAACACTTCCTCTCGGACCTAAGAGATCGCCATGTGTTGGTGTGCACCGACAACACAGCAGTTGTCTCTTACATCAACCACCAGGGAGGTGTGCGTTTGCGCACCCTGTAAAGGCTGGCACACCAGATCCTTGTGTGGTCCCAGGACAAACTCCTCTGGCTGAGAGCAGTTCACATTCCTGGGCATCTCAATATGGGAGCAGACATCCTGTTGAGGCAGGGGCTGAGGCCCGGGGAATGGAGATTTCATCCCGAGGTGGTGAAGCAAATATGGAGAGTTTTTGGCCAGGCTCAGGTGGACCTGTTTGCGACTCAGATGACATCGCACTGTATATGGAGAGTTTTTGGCCAGGCCCAGGTGGACCTGTTTGCGACTCAGATGACATCGCACTGTCCCCTCTGGTTCTCTGTGACTCATCCAGCTCCACTGGGGAGTGCTGGAGTTCCTGCAGGCCCGATTCTCCGCAGGGTTGACCCACTCCACCCTGAAGGTCTACGTGGTGGCCATTGTGGCCTACCACGCCCCTCTCTGCAGGGGGGATCTGCAGGCCCTCTCAGTGGCCCCTTCCTATCTCGACTTTGAGCCTGGTCTGGCCAAAGCGTTTCTGTACCCTCGAGCGGGGTATGTTCCTAAGGTCCCTCCTCTACACCACGGCCTGTCGTACTCCAGGCCTTCAGTCCTCCTCCCTTCAGGGAGCCAGACCAGCAGAAGCTTAATTGTATGTGTCCAGTGCGATCACTGGACACATACGTCCACAGAGCTGCCCTGTGGAGAAGGGCGGACCAACTGCTTGTTTGCTATGGTCCCCCTAAGAGAGGTCTTCCAACTACAAAACAGACCCTCAGTCGGTGGATAGTAGATGCCATCTCTATCGCTTATGAGTCCTCTGATCTCCCTTCGCCTCTAGGGGTCAAGGCTCACTCAACGAGAAGTGTGGCGGCCTCCAAGACCTTCTTGGCAGGTGTCTCTATGCAGGACATCTGCAACGCTACGGGATGGTCCACGCCCCTAACCTTTGTCAGGTTCTATGACCTAGAAATGCGAGTCATTCCGGGCTCTTCTGTTCTCTCGCCCTAGCTGTGCAGGCTTCCACAGTCAGGTTCTATGGCCTAGATATGCGAGCCACTCTTCTGTTCTCTCACCCTAGCATTGCAGGCTTCCACACTAGGCAGAGATTTGAAAGTCTGGCGGCGTGGGCATACTCGTTCCCAAAGCGTTCTCTGACGCAGCTTGAGTTCCTGAAGAGGAACATCTCAGGTTACGCATGTAACCAAGGTTCCTCGAGGGAACGAGACGCTGCGTCGCAGGGCCATACTTCTGGCATCTCTGCCAGCGCTTGCTTCACTCCTAGAAGCTGACGCCTGTTTCACCGCACGTGCTTTTAAGCTTCCTGGTCGCTACGTCACCCCGCCCGTGACGTCTCGCCCATCCATTGGACTGATTACACACGTGATTCAGAGCCGGTCATGCTGAAGGCGTTCCCAAAGCATTCTCCGACGCAGCGTCTCGTTCCCTCGAGGAACCATGGTTACATGTGTAACCGGAGACATTTCATTGGATTGTTTAATGGGGGAACATTTAGAATGATGAATTAAATACATCCATGGTGAAGTTCTGTGTGAAAAACAGATCAAAGATCCAGAAAAGACTCACAAATCAGTATAAGACTTTAACATTTTTGAGTGAACGAGACGAATAAGAAATAACAGAAAATAAATCATCAGCAGCTGCTGTATCTCTCAGCTGTATCAGTGCAGTCACTGTGACTGACTGACGGAGGTTTTTGTACAACTCTTTATCACTGTGTGAACACTCCACCACTGTGGTAACTCTGACAGTAATAATCTCCTGTATCTTCAGTCTGGACTCCACTTATGGTCA